TAGCTTCCTAATGTGTCCCAAGTTTTGGAAGAGTGAGAAGTGGCCACAAAATCTGGACTATTATATTTGTGGGGGAGAAATCTATTTAAAAGAAACATTAAGTGGACCACAAGATAGCCCAGTGGACTAAGCACCTACTTAGGCAAGCACAGGGACTGGGGTTTGATCCTGGGCACCACAGGCCCTGCTGGGCCCACCCCAGGTGTGCTGAGCTGGCCACCAAGACCAGGGGTGGTGGTGCATACCTGTAATCCCAGCACTGGGGAGGCTGAAAGCAGGAGGATCACTACAAGTCTGAGCTATATAGTGAGACCCTGTGCCAAACCCATTTAAAAAATCATAAACAAATATAAATAAAATCATGGATGGCTTAACAAAGAAAAGAAACATTAAACATAACCAGTTATGGGTCTGGAGATGCAGCTTAGTGGCAGCTCTTGCCTAGCATACCACAGCTCAGGGCTCAATGCTCGAGCATCCCAAAAAAGAGGAAAAAGAAAACCTACCAATTCTGCTCCAGTTTAGGGTGAAACTTTGTGTTATTCAGACATTTAATATGTCCGTATGTGTGCACTTCTATAAAAATACTTTTGGAACTTAAAGCCACTTAATAAGGTAAATTTTCCCTACTCTTACATAGTTAATATCCATAACAGGGTTATGTAGAAATGGCCCAATACTGTACAATAGCTGGCACTTCTGTTCAGTGAGCTTCTGTGATTGTCACTGGGTTTTGTTAGCAAAATTCTGAAGATACTAAACTGCTCAGCTATTTAATTGAAAGAAAGGATTTTTTTTTTCTCTTTAAAATGAAAAAAAGAATTGTGTAACTGCTATTAAAAATGCCTGTGCTCCAGAATACCCCAGACTGGCTGCGGGCACACATGCCCGAGGAACAGTATGGCCACGAGGCCCCTTGTGATTGTTCCTGACCTCTTCTTTTCGATTGGGATAGCATTTTATTTGTTCCACACTTGGATAACTATGTCTTGCATCTGTTTTCTATTATTTTCAGAGCTGAAATACAGCACTGATATTTTAATACTTGGTAGATCCTGTGTTCAGCCTCCTCCAGATGTATTTTAAATTACTCCATGAAGACCTGACAAGTGACTGGAGGCTGAGAGGTGTGACTGTCCCCTTTTAACTCTCAAATACAGCTTTCTTCTTGTGGAGCTCCAAGTTATTTACTTTCCTTTCATTTGAACCACATTTGGGTGAATGTTAGTGTGCTCAAAACATTTTCAATGATTCTTGACTATAGATGTATTTAAATTCTATTTTTTAAAGATCTCTTTATTTCTTGTACCAGTTTTTATGGTGCTTACTGCATGCTGCAACCTCAGTCGGTGGTACAAAGTGTCTTCAGCAGGAGACCTGGGTCAAATCTCTGGCTTTACCATTTATAGTCTTTGTGACCCTGGAAAAGCCACTGAGGATTTTCAGTCTCCCTGGGTTCCTTGTTTCTCATAAAGGAAAGGGGAGTCCTTGTGTCCCTGATTTACATGCAGTAATAATGAACCCTTGAGACCATGTCTCATGAAGTTGGTTCTGATACCTGAGTCTAGATGATGGTGCATGAGCCAACTCGGTGACGTCTTAGTAAAGAACAAGAAGCAAAAGTCTATTGAAAACCTATTAATTCTGAGCCTGATCCCACATTACTAGAACTAGGTGGATCTTTCTGGTTCTCGCTGATGGTTCACAGGGTAGGGCCTGGAGTGAGTAGGCCAGAACCTGTTTATATCCTGGCTTCCCAACACACATGTTGTGGGCTCCTGGGCCAGGCACCTCTTTCCCAGAGTGTCAGTTCCTCATGTGTGAAATCGAGGTGATAGCTACACATCACAGGGTCTCTGTAAGGATTAAATAAGATCAAGTATGTTGATCTTTAACAAGGAGATAATGCCTTAAAAAGTTATAGTGACACATAGCTACTCTTCGTGTTTTCTTAATTTTTGTTGCCACTATTAGTAGTAGCAGTAATAGGCCTAGGAAATTATTCTCTGGCAGATCCCTATGTGAGGATATGCAAAAAGGATGCCTGGTTTTAGTATATATATGAATTCTTGGAAGTTCTTTGGGATTATCCTTTATTATTCTAGTAATATAGGTAAGGGCCTTACCTTTTTCTGATATACCAAAATATTAGGGTGGAATTATATTTAGTAGATTTTATTTAGTAGGTGCAAATTTTATTTAGTAGATGCAGTATGCCAGAAAATTAGGTTAATTGTTCCTATTATGCAGTTGAGTCAGGTATGTTATAATGCATTATTCTATTCTGCCCCTTAGTTTTTCAAATGATTCCTGTTCAGTTTTAATATAATATGTATGTCCTTTCTAGGTAAACCCATCAAATCACAGGCTCCTCTTTGAAGTATTTGACGAAAACAGATTGGTGAGTCTTCGTTTTTGAGTTTTGCTTCATTTTTTAAACATTGAATTTTTAGGGCTGAACCTTCTGAAGCTCTGTCTGTTGGTTGCATATGCTCAAAGAGAGGCCTGCTTTTGTCCTACTGCTAGAGTTAACCATTCTAAAAATATCTGTGTGTTTATAACATGGAAAATTTCTTTGAATATGTATGTAATTTTTTATTTCAGTTAAGATTATTGAAAGTTACTGGTGATAATCTTAGTCAGGATGTTTATATTCTGGTTTTGTGAATACAGTACAATAGGCAGATCTGTAAAGATGCCATCGGACACATAAACAAACCAATGAGGAATTTTTAAATCTAAACCAGACTCTACTTCTGTGATCCATTCGGTAGCAGATCTATGGTAATTCTCTCTGGAGAAATGTATTCTAACAAGTATATAGGAAATACACTTAGCAGGTAGTTAAGCTGTATTTTAAAAATGGTACCTTCTCAAGCGAGATCCTTAGTAAATACTTTCGGAAGCAAAGATGGGGCTAGGAGTAGAGCTCAGAGGTACAGTGCTTTCCTGGCATGTCAGATCTCTTGATTACATACCAAACAGTGAAAAAATAAAAAATCTTCAAGTTTTGATATAATCTAGTTGAGTTACCCAGGCTGGCCTTGAACTCAAGACTGCCTTACCCTCCCAAATAGCTATGATTATAAGTATCCTACCCCACTCCTAGCTGAAACTCCATTTTTACTTTCTTGTTAGATGGAATGAGATTCTGCTGAGGGATCAGTTCTTGCTCTTACCTTACCCAGTGATGCGAGGCATAATGTTTAGGTTTGATAAACCAGTAATTCCTGTAGACATAGAGTCCTCCATACTCACCTATAGTCTCTGATTCATTAAGTATAATAACGCGTGAAGATGAGAAAAGGGTCACAAGTGAGGAAAAAAATCATGCCTTTTTTCTTGTGTTTTAAGTTCATCATTCCATTATTATTATTTTTTTTTACTAAGAGAAATCACTCTTTAAATAAAAGCTGCGCATTTCCGTGATCTGAAATACTGACTGTACTTGAGATGACTTTGTCTTGGATCAGAAACTATATTTCCAAACCAAAAAGGGCTTTGAAGGCAAAGCTTTTAAGAGCTTCTGTACGAATACCAACCTTATCCTAACAATCTCACTTTATAATAATACTAAGCCGAACAATCTCACTTTATAATATTAATACTAAGCTTCGCCACAGGCCATGCGCAGTGTTGTTACTATGCAAAGAATGCTGCTGGTGCTGACTTTTCTCTTTGTTGGCTGTTAATCCAACAAAGAGAATGCATGATGGTAGAAGTACTTGGAAGTTCTAGCATTAAACAAGCTGGCTTTCATTTCATAGAGGTCAGTTTTGGCCCTCAGAACTCATGCTTTTAGAAAACATGTTTGGATTTATGTAAACACAGGGTTAATCCTCCACGCCCTCGATTCTAGAACTATTGACAAAGTCATGCTTTGCAGATTTTAAATAAACTTTGTGTCACTTGTAGCAGATTGGTATTTTATTTTTTAACCTCCTTCTAAATAAACCTTTCTGGTAAAAGAACTGATGTTTCTGGTTCATAGAAAAGAATAAGTTTAAAACACATAGAATATTTCCAAGTTAACTATGAATCCGATGACAAGTTTTTGAATAGGAACTTTTATTTCTTAGGTCCTTTTTGGCTCATTGCAAACATAGGAAGATTCCATGTTTGCATCCTAACTGTGCTATGATTTCTGACTTCTTACTGAAAAACAGCTCCAGGCAACATTTCTTCAGTATGGTATTTAATTTAAATCACTCAAAAGCCACATGGACACCCTTCTTATATTTTCCTTCCTTTTGCGGGGAGGGTTTTTTTGTTTTTTTTTTTTCTCCTACCTGGCATATGAGAGTGAATGTTTTCTCCAGCTGGGTTTCTTTTTCTCTGGTACTTCCATGTCTGACAATCATGTTATATGTGAGGTCCACACACTCCTTTAAAAATAAGAGGTGTTCAGAGGAGCAGGGGACCAATCAGAGGCACAGCTGGCCGCGTAGTAAGTTTGTGCTCCCCTGCGCCTCACTTCGCTATTTTGTTACTTGTAGATCATGGTCTAATTATTTCCCATTAAAGGGACACTAATTCTGTGGGGCGTGTAATCATATTTATAGCATGTTTTATTAGTTTGCATTCCCTCGTGGTAGTGTAGTGATATCATAAATAACAGAAACATAACATCTGACACTTATGAAAGGGTTTCCCCGTCATCCAAGCTGTGTTTTCCTTGTTATTTGCTGTGGTGGGTGAGTGGGGCTGTACCAGTGTGTGTTTGTGTTTAATGCACTGGGACCCTGGCGGAGAGTCCCATTGCCGTGCGTACTTGGGAAAGAAATGTCCCGTGAATGTAACACGGGTAGATTTACAGCAGCAGGGCTGGAGGTGTGTGTGCTGCCTCAGTCAGCTGCATGAGCTCCCTGCTGGGCTGCCCCTTTCTGACAGAGCAGCAGCAGCTGGGAAGGTGCTGTTTCAGGCTCTTGCTGTTTAAAAAAAATGAGAGCGAGAGGGGGGAAATTGCAGTAAGTCCACAAGCTGGCATTGGAGGGGGAGCGCGCGGTCATGTGGTGCTGGCCATCCTACCCTCTGTCACGGTGTAGATGAGAGCTTTTTGCTCTTATCCAATCATGCCTGGAATGCCGCTTGCCACTTGGGCTATTTCTGCTATCTGTCGCTCTTGGTGCCGCAGTGCTAACGGTTTGGCAGATGGGACACTTTTTCTTGGAGTTGGTGTCTTTGGTTTTTGACTTCTGGCAGTGCCGGGCTTGTTGTTGCTGCTCGCCCTCTCCCTCTCGGCCCCCCTGGTCACCATGGCCCATCGGCTTCGGTTTCATTTTGGCTCTGGTCGCAGCAACACAGCCCCCGAGTCAGAGATCCTAGACCAGGAGAGAGAAGAAGACTTTTTCATGGCATTCCACACCCTCCCGCGGCGGAGCGGCCCACACCCCTTCGCCCAGAATGGAGGGGAGGACGGTGGCGGCCTGCAAGAAGGCGTGGGCGCGCTCAAGCGCAGCTCGTCCATGTTCATCCCGCAGCTCCTCACCAGTATGGACGCCCGCCCCACACGCAGCTCCTCTGTGCAGATCTCCCTGCAGCGCAAGGCAGCTGACGGTGCCACTGACGGGTGCGGGCCACCCAACGGCTCTGAGGACCGGCCTCCGAGCGCCACCGCCGACCTTGGGGAGCAGGCCACAGCCGCGACCCAGAGTGCTGTGCGGGCGCCCTCCCCAAGGGACACCCCCGGGAGCTCCCCTCCGAGGGCAGCCCGGGACCCCCAGGTCAATGGCACGTGTGACTGGCGCTTGCGGGACCCGGGCTTGGCAGATGGCTCAGAGGAGGCTGTCCCAGGCCTGCGTATCCAGCACCGCGCCTCTAGCGCAGACATGCGCCAGGTGCGCCTGCTACAGTTTGGATCTGACAGCCAGGCAGCCCAGGAGCCCAGGCGCTGGTCCCTGCAACATGTTCCTGATGCTTCCGGAAGCTCTGGGAAGCGATGCTTTGTCTTCCAGTTGCAGCAACCTCATAAAGGTACACCAGGGCTGGGCAATGACTTCAATTTTGGCTTCACTGGCACAAAGGGTGACAGATTAGTGAGGTATCCCCGCATTCGGCTGGAGAGGAGCACTTCATACCCTACCCAGCCCCGAGTGGGCCGGGGAAGCCCCACAGAAGAACGTGGAGTCCCTGAGATGCTGCCTCGGACAGGCAGGATGGCTCCTGAGATCCGCAGGACGAATTCCATGGAGAGGACTCCACAGGGCCAGGGGTGCACCTTTAAGATCAGGCAGGATCAAAATGCGGGTCAGCAGCATTTCCGGATTCTTGTAACTCGGGAGCCTGAAGAAACTCCCCAGAATTCTGAGGAGAATGGCAAGAGTCCTGGTTCGCCAGGAGTGAGTGCTCCGGTAAGTCCGCATGTTTATGAGTGCAAGTTGCTGAGACCACCATGGAGTCCCAACTCAGAAAACTTATTCTGCATTGTACTTAAAATATGCTTCACCCTCCATTCTGGGAGTTTCCCTGCTTCAGGCTAGTGAAACCAATGTCTGGCAGCGTTCTGGGACAGTGATTTGTGGTCCAGAGTTTTGGTAGAGGTCCACAAAGCTAGGTACCCCTTCAGAAAATGGTTTCTTTAGATCTTCAAAGTCAGAGATCTCTGTCTGTTTGGGAAATCTAAGCAAAACACACATACACCCTTTTGTTATTTTTCCTCCTGAATAAAAGAATTTAAAAAATTTATTACTTAAAATTAGTCTGCCAAAAAACAAGTAAGTGCCCCAATAGGTTGATATGGGAAACACATTTTAAAAGCTGCTTGCAGATGTAGTCAGTGACAACGTTTCCTTCAAAAATAATCAGTTTTGATAAAGGTGAACATGATATTACAGTGGACTTGAATTTCAATGTCTTAATCATTAAGTACACATAAGGTTTGATTGGTTCTTCCTAATGGCCTTTTTGTTGTAGACTGTTGCTGGTCCTTATTATGTAATGTATTGTCTTTGATTTTTATTCCATTAGGTAATAGTGAAGAAGAGTAGTGTCACTCTGGGAACAGTAAGAGGTGTGCTTTTGAGGCAGATTGGCTTGTGGACCAAGGTTAGGGAAGCAGTGTGGGGAGTCACTAATGGTCGTCGATTGTAAAGCCGTGCAACTTTACACAGCCCACTTGAGTGTCTAAGCCAAGGACGCTGTATGTAGCACAGGAAGGGGCCTGTCTGCAGCTGTGCAGATGGACGCCTTGCAGGGGACCCTGGTTTCCTCCGCCTGTGTTCTCGCCCACTCCCTTTCAGTGAAACGGAGTACAGAGAGACAGATGCTAACTCTGCTAGGCATATGATGACGCTGCAGCTTTCCTAGTCCAGAGTGGGATAAAAAGTTGAATTGGTTAGATATTTTTTACTTATGCTCACTAGCTGTTGAGTGTTTCCCTAAAGAACAAGGTGCTTATATTTTTAAACTGGACTTTTCCCCTTGAACTTCATGTGGGTACTGGTTAGATGATACGATTAGGAAATAATGCCTTTGGGGCTTCCATTTGGATTTCACTTGTGAATTCTCTTCTTAAAGTGCGCAGCTTAGATAGGACTCTAGGATTGTGGGGTCCTTTGTTGCTTTGTGTTCAGAAGTATTTTTGTGAGTCAAATAAACATCATCACTGTTTCTCACCATTTTGAACATATAATCAGATACTAAATGCAAATATATTTTTCTCTCCTTTCAGTTCTTTATTGACTCTTATCCTTTTATGAAGAAATGGCTGTTTTATGTTGGTCTGAACCCAGGCCACGTATTACACCATAATACAAATTTCAGTAGTGCAGTAGCTTTTAACCCACCCCAGCAAATGAACATAGCAGGTGTAGGCTTTTGCTTAGCATCACAGTTCCTTGGTGAACGTGATCTACCTACCATAGGAAGGTGCAGAAAAAATGCGCATCCTAATGTTTTGATAACAGTTCAATTACATGGCTAAAAATGAATCATTTTTGTAGTCGAGGTGTTGGACAAATGCAGTTATTTATATTTAAATTCTCATTTGGTTTGGAGTTTTCATTGTAATTAAAAACAGAATATATTAAAAGTATGTGTCTCCTAGAAGGGCTGCTTTCATCTGCAAGGACTGTGTAGTAGAAAGCAAGTTTTACAAAGTTGGAAATACAAACCCTAAAGTAAAGGTCATTATGCAGAGCAAGTTGTTTTATCTAGTGAGTGGATTTCATAGATATATGTCATCCTGCACATAAGTAAATTAGTACATGATTGGTAAACTGGTTTTCTTTTAAGGAAAAGCTTTCTTCTTTAGAAAACAGAGTTGATCGCATAGCAAAACTCTGCTCCATTCAGCAACTTGGTACATGATTCCTACAGACCAGGGGGAGGCAGCAGCTGCCATCACCTTATTTTTAATCTTGAAAGAAAACATTCACTTGGGTATCCATAGCCTGGCCACCACCAGGCTTTTATGGCGTTTCTAATGCATTCTGCTTTGGTCAGAAAAGCATTGAATTATTAAATTTATGTGAAAAAAATAAATTGATTATAGTCTAGTTTCTCAGTGATGCAGAAAATCTTTTTAGGTGTAGGAATTCCTTTTACAAATTGCTCAGATGTGAGAAGCCATGCTGTAGGTCTTACTACCACAAGTTTAAGTAGCTGAGTCCTTTTATCTTTCTGGTCCTCCCAAACCTCCTGCCATGTACAAACCTAAAACACAACATGACTCCAAAAGCTGTTAACTAGCTAGATTTTTAAAAAAAGATTCAGAGAGAATATCACGTGGGAATAGCTTTCTCCAGACCAGGCAGTGGAGCACAACTGGAGTGAGGTGTAGGGGTACAGGCTTGTGATCTTAGCACTCTGGGGAGCTGTGGCAGAGGCCTTGGTATAAAAACTAAGTGTAAATGCCCCAGTTCATTCTCCAGTACAATAACAATAAAAGGCAGAAATGTTTCCTGTAGTCATTTCACTGAAATATTTTAGAGACCTTAGTATTTATCCATTCAACCTGTGGCATTTTTAAATAGCGTAGTTATTTCTTAAATTAGTTTTTGGCTAATTTGCGTTGGTTATGAGCTGCTTCATTGCATTAGAGTTATTCTGAGGAAGTTGGGCTGGCCATTGTCAACATGTGAGCCCTCTCTGAACACTGTTTTGTGCATAACAACTGCTAAATTCTGCATTTTACAAGCTTGAGGAGCCAACTTTCTAATTCCATTAATGTTATTAAGTGTTCAAAGTCTACTATGCCTATAACATTGCACTAGTTACTTGGAATGTTTCGGAGATGGCCTCAACTTTTTGCTGACACAGAGGGTAAACACAGGGAAGAGGGCGTCCAGGAAGCAAACCCAGAAATTCTCACACCTATTGCCCATGCTAACAGCAAAGGGGGGAGTGTCCTTCCCTTCCACTATAGCCTTTCTGAGTTTTCCAGTGTCTCCAGCGGGCATGTACTTCTCCGAAATAGTATGGTAATCCTTTGTGACTAAAAGTTTGTTTGGTGAACAGCAAAGATAATCTGTGTTACTTTTATTCAGAGGGAATTTGGGGTTGAGATGGTTTTACTGTGCAGAGAATTTTCCTGTCAGTAGCAGTTGGTGTCTCTTTTAACCCTAAAAATAACTCTGAATGTCAAATATATAACCATCACTTATTTTGAAAACATAGCAGCAACATTGTAATAGATAGTGAAAAAGTAGTATTCCTTGCATTGAATTGGTTTCTGATTGGGTTCTGTAAATTTTTCCCCTCCCAGATATAGTAGTGGTCTCTTCATCTGGTCATATATAATAACTTAATACTATATAAAAATTTTTGGCTATTTTCACTATTTTGCCTACTCGAACCAATCTTTTACAGTGTATCAGCAGTTTACACTGATTTGTGTTTGTCAACATTAACATACAGGACTTGAAATGATAGCTCATGTTTTAGGACTTCACAAGTGAAGAATGCTTGTTTATTCTGAAATTAGTATGTGCAACTATCTATTGTAGAGGACTTGTCTCACAGCCTTTCTTTCTACCATCTAAATCAGTGTTTGTCATTCCTTTAGATGAAAGTGTGTGATATTGCCATTAGATCTGATAATAGTTTGTATATATATATACACACACACACACAATAAGAATATATATCTATATATGTGTATATTATAAACAGGGAGATAGGGAGGGAAAGTGGGAGGGAAGGAGACAGAGAGGCACAATCAAAAGGTATATGTTAGGTCAAAAGGCACTGTGAATGTTTCTTGTGATGTATTTGCCAAAAAGCTTAAAGATAATTCATTTGGGGCCTTTCTGTTGGCCTCCTAGTGGGAAGAGGCAGCTTTAGGGATGTAGAGAACCAGCCCTGGCAGTTCACTGGCCACTGGCTTGGAGACTTTCAGTATTAGACTTCCCGTAAGCCTAGTCCCTCATCCATAAAGAGGAAGGTAAAAATGTCCAGCTTCCTAGACTGGGACCTCAAAAGCATAGCTTCTAAATAAGTGAGGCAAATGTGTGCAGGCACCATTTCATGAACCAAGCATACAAGTCTTTCATCTAAGAAGTCAATGAGATTGTCTTTTGAACAGGCAGTTTTTGCTTGGCATAGCATCAAGTGCAAGAACAACAAGAGTTTATGGCAAACCTGGAAATGTACTGTCACCATCAGGCCTGTCCGCTGTGTCTCTAACAGTGCCCTGTGATGTCACAGGTCCTAAAAGGAATTGACCTGTGAGTCAAACATCGAGGAATTTGATTTTTGCATTGTTGATTTTTTTTTAAATCTTAAGAACATCTTGGCTGCTTTTCCCAGGCATTTGTATCATGTCATTCTGCTGGGACGGATTTCCAGTGGTCAGGGCTGCGTAGAGTCTTTGGAGGCATGTGAGCCGCAGCATCATGTTATCTATGGCTTCCCAATTGTGTGCGTTACAAAGAAGGGAGCTGTATGGGAATGTGCCTTACTAGCTGCTGCTGTTCACAAGGCCTTCATAGATGGTGCAGCTGCTTCGTTTAACTGAGCCTGGAGGCAGAGATCCTAGTCATTGAAATCAATCTCCAGTTATATAATACATACTAATAAGAAGCTTGCTCTCTCTACATAGTAGTGCACAAGACCAAAAGAAATTTATTCCATGTAAGGATTATCTTAATATTATATAAATATTGGATATTTGTGTGTAGTCTGACCTAAAAGGTAATGATACTTGGGCAATTTGAAATGAATGATCGGCAGATTTTCCTAAATAAAAATAATTAAATACATATTATTATGCCAAGAGAGTTAGCTATCCTAAATACACTTTTTCCTGTTAACTCTTAAATACTTTACTGAGATATTTGCAATATTAGAGAAGAAGAAAAATTGACATCATGCTGAAACTGTTGATCCAGTACATAGATGCCTGAATTCTGAG